TGATTATGGGTACCATGTGCAAATCCATGATTTTGAATTATCTATGAAAATTTATGACAAAGATTCTGCTGGTTGCAACGATCATGGTGTGGTGCCAACGTGCTAATCAATCGGTTATATTTATTGTCCATACGGCTACTCTTCCGTATCTACTTTACAGAAACATTGAGACATATACAAAGTAAATTAGTGGTTAGCAGCTTTTCTGTTCAGTCTCTCAGTTTCAATTTCCAAGTAGTACTTGTATGTATGCAAATGTTCAATGCATTGATAACCTGAGTGAGTACTTGGTGTCAAAGAACGAGAGGCGACTGGCTTGTGGTACCGCAAGCATCATTCTGACTTTGCACGGAGACTGACTTATCTTTTCCTGCCCAATGTATGATGATTGTAATTCAGCTCAATCTAACTCCGATTCTTCTTGACAGGATGTCCCGTCACAAACCCAGTCCGTCAACAGCCGTCGGATCGGTCGCCTGCAAACAATCCGTTGAATTACATCAGTCCTCCGCCGGTCATTCCAGCACTACGGCATTCAGTTCGGTCCGACTACGAACTGGAATCAAGTACGTGTACACTCATATCAATAACTTTTCAAATTCGCGAATCCCACTGTCAGTATTTAATTCCTCTCTCGCTCTAACAGTTGTTGAAGATTTTAAATACGTAGATTTCAAATACAAATTATCACTTCATTCAATGCAAAAGGATACCGACGAGCACAGTTACTGTGGTGATGGTCTTAGATACATCCCAATACATACCAATGTTGTGCCTTGCCTGTACTCTACCGATTGATTCATCTAAATCCAATTAAATTGTTCAATCGTTGAATGTTTCCAAGGCACCTCAATTGATTTTTTTATTTGTAATCTGATCACACATACTACTGACTGAAAGTACGACTGGCGTCTACTAAATTTTTAAACTTCATTTCAGATATCCCGCATCTAAAGCAAAGAATGAGTACCGTCACCTCGTATTTATAACAACCAAATCCCTCACATCCGGGGAGTATTCAGTATTTATGGCAGACAAACGCTTTAAAATTATTGGTGGCTCAGAGTTGGTATTTTCACGTTCTATGGGAACCGTCCTGGGTTCGTTCGCCGTCATCCCCTAAGACTTTTGTTTAAAACGCGAACTGCCATTAATTGAAAGTCGCCAGACAAACTGAACTCAAAATAAATTTGGAATTGTTCAATGACGTGTATGGAAATTGATGTTTTACCGGAGTCATTATCCGTTTGGAAGTTCCAAAAATGGATTGCTATCTTCCTTCTGGGCTGTCATGATCATGCGAGAAGATGATGATGATACTGACCAAAAGTTTTGTACCGTATCATGAATCGAATGGTTGTATATAGGTTCAGGAAGAGGTTTAAGCTTGTGAGGTATTAGCTTCTATGTATTTCATGGTATTCATTATTGATGAGGCTTAAGCACCACACTTTCGACGAAGTTGACTAAAGATCGCAACCCGCAAACGGGTAGTGAACCACTGTCTTATCACTGTCTTCACTATATACCGGTCTAAGTGATGTTCGCATCAGGATCGATTCTCCATGCATTCGCGTTTCAACTAACAGCAGATTTCGGATGACAGTTGCTCCTGAATAGTTTAGGATTGCAGAGACATTTAAACAGCTATTAATTTACCTCCACAGGTGAACAACGCGCAAATAATTTGTGTTCTCCAGTGCGTGCAACTGGTGGGATTCTATAGCTCTATGTGACTAACGAAGTACAATCACTTGCCAGAATCATATAGCACTCAGTGAACAGATCTAATGCGAGTCATCGATTTCCTTCGCTGTCACCGCAAACTTTGAACGTCCGCGTATGGTGTTCTGTTTTGACTTTCAAGAAAATCGATTTAGAAATATCAGTTCGACTCACGCTGTATGATTGGCATCATTTGAATCGTCCGAGGAAAAGAATGGCTCTGATATTTTGAACAAGAAGAGTTGACCAGACTGATCATAGATCCCATAAGTTTCACTGATGCATCACATTGCTTATACTGTTAAGACGCATTTGGTTAGCTTGTCTGCCACCAGGTCCATTAGGAGTACTGAAAAAGTGTTAGGCGTTATATAAACATTA